CCTGCCCTCCTCGCCTGCCGTTTAAAAAGTCAGTTTCTAGAAAGCTCTAGTTTATTTTGAGGGGAAACCGGAATCAACTACCTCTCAGCGCACTACCTGTGGCTCACTGTCCTGCTGCTGTGCTGAAGAGTCTCCTTCAACGCCTTACTGGAAATAGCTTTTATTAGTTGGTGATTTCTGCTTTTTGGCAGCTTTTCTGGACTTGATTTTAATTTTATGTTCTTTTACTCCATTCACATAAGTGAAAAACAACATGGAAATCATGGCTCCTGAACAACTGGACACTCATCGAACGGCTGTCGTCTCAGTAAACTGCTGTCCGAGCGACTGAGTCCGATGAGCCCTGTAGACTCCGAATACTGTTACTTAACGTTTCCCAACAGAAATGACATGGAAGCCATGCTGGGAATCAGGAAAGAGGTCTTGGAAATAACGTTTTTCTTTGCACTAATTTCTCGCACATCTAACCTTGGTCTAGGCGTGTGAGATTTGGGGATGTGCGTGAAGCACGCAGATTGTGTGACCCAGTGTACACAGACGGGGCCACGGGCCTGGCAGAGCCTCGGACACTGAGGCCGCTGCTGGCTGACGCTCTGCATGTGGATCAGGCGGCGCGCAGGCCCTTCCCTCCCCGGCCCGGCCCGGCAGCAGGACGGTGTCAGGGGCGTAAATCACGGCGTCTCTAGCAGGATGCGTGCAGGCTCCACTGACATTTTCACAATTTAAATCATCTTGAGTAATAACCCTTTTAAGATGACTAATGTTACTGATTTTACTGCATTAATAATAGTGCCGAACACAACACAGAGGTGAAAAAAATCACTAGTGTACGAGGTCACATTTTAAAACCAAATGCATGGTTATCATTAACTCTTTCTGTTAAAGTTCAGTCTCCACTCAGAGCCGGGCAGCACCTTACTGTCATCCCTTCTTCCCCGGAACTCCACAAAGGACAAAAATGAATGCCTCATTGCTTTCTGGAGTTTCCCAAAGAGTTTCAACATAAATAACGATGGTGAGCTTCATTTTATAGTTCTCACTTGTACAAAAACTAACAGTACACAATAGTTCAGTTCTCTTACAGATCATACCCAAATGATCCAGAAAATTGCTGGTTAAAATGACCTGGCATCAACAGGCATACTGTGCATTTAAAAATCTCATTTCTCAGTTGATAAGTAACCACAAAGTATTTTTTATTCTTTATGGATTTCCTATGAAAATATGTATGAAGCTTGATTTCTGCTGGTGGCTTCAAATGCTCAGGGTACGCAATATGCTCAGGCAATTCCTTACTTTTAAATTTCTTTTCAAATTTAAGCAAGTATAAGAAATGAGTTGAGGGCTAAAGGGGGACAGGGAGAGAATACCTTATCGGAATTTTAGGATGGAAAATTTTTTATAAGTTCATTATTATATCTGGGTTCCCCACATGAGCTGAGCCATCCCTCAAGTGACTGGCAAGTGCCTTTGGTATGTCAAGCAGCCTTCCTGCCTCTGAACAGGACTATGCCAGATTCTAAAGGTCCGTAACTACTGCCGCAAACTGCTGGAATGATGAAGACCTTCGTGTTAACTGTATTTTCTTGCTCCTCAGACCGTCCTTTCCTCATGACCTCTTCAAATCAGAGATGACTCTGAAGTCATAAGGGTGAGTATTACTTTTTCCAATGAACTCAGTCAAAGAATTCTCATTAGAACAACTACCCACTTTGTTACTCAATATTAATGTTATTTTGACCACCAACTGGTATAAATTATGCTGAAGTGAGGGCAACTTGAGCCTTGAATGAATGAGAATGACCTGGAGTTGTAATATTTGGTAACATTAAATTTTTTCTTGATTACAAAGATAAATACTCATTGTGGAAAAGTCAAATAAGAAAGAGAAGTATAGAAAAGAAAGCAAAAATCCCTTGAAATCTCACTGCCGAGATAATCACTAACAATTTGGTAAACACCCTCCAGACCTTCCATACACATAAGGAGAAGCCAGTTTAAGGATCTTTACATAAACAGGCTCATGTGAAAATGCAGCGTCCCAATCTGCTCTTTTCATTCCACAGAATGCTGAGGGCGATCTTTTCATGCGAATGACTACACGTTGCATCATCTGTTTTAAATGGCGGGAGCATATTCTACTGTATGATGGAACAAATAAAAATAAATGAAGCCCATATCCATCTAATTTATCATTAGCATTTATGAAGAGGATACTTATTTGTTAGAGAGTAGTGTTAACATTTAGATGAGAGAATTATGGTTGTATCTCATTACTAAACTCCCCTTGATCAAATATCAATGGAAACAAAGAGGTGAAATATTCAAATTACAGAAACACATTGTTGGAGAGTCAAAGGAATTAAAAGATTACCAAATTACATAGTTAAATGGCTGGATATGCAAACTAACTAAACTGTAACTTTGGCTTTTTCCTTCCCTTTAAAAAGAATGCTTCACAAAACCAGTTCTGTGAAGCTTATTTTCTGAACACATAGAAACACATACAGATGTAATTCATCAAAACAGCAAGTGTTTTACTGCTGTTCTCAGTGTAACTAATGCCGCACACAGCCTTTTACTAAGTCTCACTTGAGTAATTATCTAACCAATACTTCTCATTAACACTCATTTCTCAGCAAAGATTTTAATAGCTGATGGCTTCTGTAAGGTTCTCTATTAATAAGACTTTGTTAAGTTTTCAAAATATATTACAGTACATTTACTGGAATCATATAAAAGTGTTATCATACATCATTAGAACTAAACAATATGTATCTAAATAAATCAGCAAGTCCATTTGGGGAGCAGTGGCAGATCCAACACAGCTTTCTGGGCTCTCTTTAATTCAAAGAAAAGCTCACTATACTTCTAAAGAGGTTTTATGGTATTTTCTTGATAAGTCTGAAATGTTTCTGTGCTTTCCATTTAAATTTCAGGGCCAATCTGGGTATAATTTAAGCATGTGAGAAGGGCTGCATTTTAAATTCTAACGTTGGGTTAAATTCTAACTTGGGGGTTGCCCGAGTTGCTCTGGTGCCGCGTCCACGGAAGGCCCGCGTGTGCGGACACACGAGGCAGCCCCTGCAGTGGACGAGAGCATGGACAAGGCCCCACGCACGGGCACGGGCTCCAGTGTATCGGCAGAGCCCAGATACACTGAAGAGAACTGGGGGACGGAAAGATAGCTCAGAAAGGTATCATCCACTGGATGGTCTCAATCTCCAGGGCGAGAAAGGATGCTGACCATAATCCCATCAATGAGCTGGGCAGAAACTCTGACAAAAACAGAAAAATACTCAAGGAAGGGATGGACAAACCCCAGCAGAGCCCTGAACATCTAGATGAGGGGGAAAAGTCTTACCACACAGAAACTCAGGAAACTACTGGGAAGTTTCAAATTCCTCTACGTAAGAAATTATATTTTGGGGGGAAGTAAAGTTGGACCAAAAAAAGGAGTGTTTCTGTTTTTGCCAAAGAAGAAAGCATGGACAGAACATCAGCTCCTTGGCCAGGGACCTGTGACGTGCTGACTCAGTGTCCCTACAGCAGAGGCCCGACCTTGCACTTACACACCCAATAAATGCTGAATGAATGGAGTTTTACGTAAACACTTCTCCCGGATCTCAAGAGAACGGGAAATAAGAAAAAATTTGTATCAAAGTACAGCTGGTAGAAGAGACCACTGTGTTAGGCATGAGTAGGAAAAACAACTGGTAGGAAAACTCTTTAAAGAACCATTGTTGCAAGAGCCCAGTTTATGGGCCCGTAATGGACTTGGGGTGCAGGGTCTCAGCAGCATAGAGTAGGAGCTCTGTGGTTTCCCACCAGGACAAATGGAGAGGGGGCGGGAGCCCTCAGGAGCCGTCTAATAGGAGCCAATCGGGAGGCTGGGGTTACATTCTGGAAGGAAGGGTAATGAGCTAATAAACCGGCGAACTAAGAGGAAGAGTCAGAGACGGTCTGAGACAGGTTTGGATGTTGTCGAGCTTTAACAGAATGCTGTTCATCAAGCAATTTATTGTACCTGGTTTACATTTTAAAAAACAATTATCAAGCTATACTAGTCTTGTTTAAACTTTTGTGTCTTTCTTTTAGCTTTCAAAGCATTAAACTGAATCTCGTAAAGCATGCTTGCATGTTAGGGAAGTAAAGGTAACAAACAAAATTTTAAATTCACTTTTTTTGGCAGGGGAGTTGATAATGTCTGACTTTTTGTAATTACCAGAGTAACGTACTTAAAAAGAAGACTGGAGAGAGATTAATCACTGGTGGTGAAACAAGTTTTACTATAAAAATTATTTGTTCAAAGTTAATATTCATTTGAATCAGAATTAAACATAGGCATTCTCATGCCAGTCAATGATGCTTTGCTTTTAAAAATGTTTGGCTAGCCTGGGAATGAAGAGTACGGTGTGGGAATTCCGAATGCACACAGAAAAGAGAATATAAACAGGACATGACGTTAACGCAAGGTTGCCTCTCCCCGTATCCCAGGCCCTTTAGAGCTGCCTGGATGCCTTGTATCAGCAGCCCGAGCGTGGCTTCCCGGCCGGTTCTTCCAGGCCAGGCCCTCACACACCTCGCCCTGCTTACCTCCCACTCCTCCCCACCCCTCCTCAGCATCCGCAGGTCCCAGTCAGACGTCGCTTCCTCGTGAAGCCACCCCACAGCCTGGTCTCAGGTTCCCTCTGTACTGTCACTGATTGCTTAGTTACCTGTGCTTCCCTGACACTAAGCTCTGTGAGAGCAGAACCTTTCTTTCCAGGTTGCTAAATGCACCCTCAGTGTACCCCGCATGCTAACATCTGGCACGTACTCAGCAAGCAATCAATACTTGATACTGGCTGAAGAAGGGAGAGAGGGCTGGCAGCTACAACAGGAAGCCTTTCCCAGCAGATCATGCCACACGCTTCAGGACCCTGTGGCGTCTGTGCTTACCTGCCAGAAGGAAATGTGGCTGTCAGTGTTCGAGTAGGTGGCAAGGTAGCGTCCATCAGGAGCAAAGGCCACGGCAGTGATTGGGCCCTTGTGTCCGTGGATTGTCTAAAATAAAATTCAGAGTCATTAACTGTAGGCATTCCACAGAACTATGACACACACACGCAAATGAATTCCGTTTTGAACAATTATGTCATGGATATTACATGCTGCTACATGCTTTATCTATAAAATCAGGTTAGAGAAATCAGAAAAGCAAGTAAGTTCTCTCACTGGTCTCTTCAAGGGTTTCAATCTTGTTCTGAGTAGTCTACCTGTCTCTGAGTTGGGAAGACAGCGTGAGTCCAAGGAAAAGCACAGATTGACTGAAAGACCGGTATGCTAATTCATTTATGTCCATTAGAGGGAAGAATTTTATGATTAATTAGGAAGATAAGAAACCAGTCACCAAATCTATCCAGGGACCTCACTCATCTGTAATGAAAGACTATCAAAGCTACACCATAAAGTCCCTGCCCTGGAAGGAGTTAAAAACTATAATTTCAACCCCTTAATAATCATATATTTTTCATGTTTTATGCTTCATTTCCCACCAATAACACTGTGTTCAAATGCATATGGCAGCAATTAGTAAACAGACATACAGGCACGTGTTGTAGGTCTGACCACACATATAAATCAAATACTATTAAAAACAAGTTAACAGGGACAATTCTGAACCTTTGCCAAATAGCTCCCATTGATTTAACCATGAATAAAAAAAGGAAGTTGTATTTTAGGCTAGGTTTTTGATAAAAAGTCTTCACTAACAAAAAATTATACTAAAATTTAATGATATTAATAGTTCCTGAAAACACTGAGATACTAAGAAAATTAGTATATTAATATTGTATTAATGTCCCTACACTCAACTATTAAAGACCATACCTCTACTAAATTAAGCAATATTCAGTCTGTTCACAAGCTATATGTTGGTCTCCTCCTTTTGTCTAGAAAATATGGGGAAATGTGTCCCCTTAAACCAAGACAATACCAGGAAGGTTTGTGTCCATTGGCTGAAGAATTGTGAACCTTGAATCTCGGTGGAAGCGTCGGGCTCATCGTGTGATTCAGTCCCATCCATATTGTAAATTTTGGTGAGACTCTTCTCGTAATTCATTTCTGAATGATTACAAGGTGGAAGGAAGGGAGGTTGGGAGGGGGATACAAGGACGTGCCTCAGTGCTCTTTGGATTCTGTTCTTTACTGTCATTAGGCTTTCAAGGCACCGTGGGATCCAAAATAATGCCTGTTTTTCAACAGAGAACTACTGCACTGTTCCCGCCCTGGGCTTTGGGCTGGCAGGGAACAGTGCTCTGAGTCAGACCGCCTGGCTGAATCTGGGCTCCACAACATACTGACTGTGAGACCGTGGACAAGTTCTTTAGGTCAGTTAACCTCAGAGTACCACGTCTATAAAGTAGGAATGATGATGATAGTGATATTGCTAATACCTGCTTCAAAGAGCTTTGTGAAAATTACATGAGTGACTATAGCTACAGCACTCTGCGCAGTGCACGGCGCAGACGAGACTTCAGTAAGTACTACCAATATCTGTGTTACCCTCTCCTTACTGGAAGATAACCAGACACATAGACTTGAAGGGTGCTAAGAAAGTGGATCCTAAATGTTCTCACTGCAGCCCGGCCGGCGTGGCTCAGCGGTTGAGCATCGACCTAGGATCCAGGAGATCGCAGTTCAATTTCTGGTCAGGGCACATGCCCGGGTTTCGGGCTCGATCCCCTGTCGGGAGCGTGCAGGAGGCAGCCATCAGCGACTCTCTCATCATTGGTGTTTCTATCTCTCTCTCCCTCTCCCTTCCTCTCTCTGAGATCAATAAAGACATTTTAAAAAAAAATGTTCTCACTGCAAAAAAGAAATGGTGATTATATGCGGGGATGGAGGTGTTAACTAAATGCTATGGGGGTGATCGTTTTGCAACATGTAAGTGTACCAATCATCACCTTAAAACTATACAATGTTATACGTCAATTAAATCTCAATAAAACTGGAAAAAATGACCAGACAAATGTAAACAACCACATAATTCAATTACTCTAGTACACCATTTAATGAAAAACACACCAAAAAAATCTCTAATCATAGATCCCAGAATCAGCACCCACTAACATTCTAGGTGGTCCAGAAGCAGACTTCAGACTGTGGTAACTGTCCATGGTACTAGCCCACAAATGTGGTGCTTAATTAAGCAACAGGGTGAGCATGCTGAGGAAGTATTGCAAGAAACGAGCTCAACACCATCTACATTAGAATGAAAATTATTGTAGGTATGGGGAAAATGTAACCAATTAAGAGGGACAAAATGACCATTCCCACTTACTAGGTCAGTTTAATGAACTCACTGGGAAAGCAGCTTTGTTTTTAAAAAAATCAAGATTCAGTTATGCTAAGAATCTGAAATTTTATTGGGCCAATCTGAGGCTATTTTATGGTTAAGATAACTGATTAGTAAGGTCTTACTTTATAACAGAGGCTGCAAACTGAAGACCCTTAGCTGAAACCTGACTGTAGATGTATTTGGTTCGGCCTGTATAATGTTTTTAAAAAATGTTTTCTGAGCCTGTATTCTAATTTACCAGATATCAGTGTAAGATCAAGATTTCTAGCTTCTCCCCAAACTGGAAGCTCTGGCAGTTCTGGGTCATAGTTCACACGTGGTGACATCAGTCAGAGATGAGTGAAGGTGGCCCCTCAGCCGTTTCACCAGTCCCTGCCTTAACACAAAAGAGGGCCTTGCGTACCTGACACCTGCTGCCTGGCTCCCTTATTTCCTGCCTGGTCCCTTGTGGCATTTAATGAAACCATTCCATTAAAAATATTTGGTTCAAATAGTTCTTCCATGCTCTGGGGTCCCAGTATGCATCTAAAAGTGTGAGCGGATTAAAAGCTCCCATAAGAAAAGCTGGCCCTCTTGCAAGCCCCCCAATGTCCAGCTCTGTGCAGGGGAAGACTGGGTTTGGGCCCTCACATCTCAAAACAGAATGCTAAACCCGCCTCCTTCAGATGAGCATCGCTCCTTGGGCAGAACCAGAATGTGCTTCAGACAGTAAGAAGGATGCAGTGAGCTGGCGAGAACCCAGCAGGTCGGGGGTGGACCAGCACACTGGCCACAGTCAGGTGCCGCTCTCTGAGACTAGCTAAGCCAGCCCTGTTGTAAAGGCAGAAAGCCAGACATACAGGCTCCTCCAACAAAGTCTTCATGAAATATTTCATGTTACGTCTCCATCTTTTACAGAGGACTGGTATTTACAACATCTGTATCAGTTGGAGACACTTCTCATTGCGTCTAATAGAAGATCCTGTGAATTAAGTTCATCTTAGAATTTTCTGCCAGGAAAATGTTTATCTCTCCGGATCAATTTTGTTGCTTTCTTTTATCATGTAACAGTAATTACAGAATTTAACACGTGCTTGCTTTACTGCCAGGAAGCTCAGAACTAAATTTATGCTCATTCTCGGTGTTTGCTGATAAATGCTCCTACTCATTTCACTGACCACTGTCCTGTCCTCCTTTGTTGTGGTTGAGATCCTGTTAGATACTGAGTTCATTAGTGAGTTTCTGCAAAGTCTACTTGACGCTTTAGATCAGAACACATTAACACATGTGCACACACGCACACACCATACCACACGGCTAGGTACCCCACAGGGCCCTTTGGGAGCAACGCAGAGAAACACCACTGAGCACTGACTGCCCTGTTGGTGACAGGCAGGCCTGCTGTCTTGGAAGAAAGCAAGGACCACTCATGGTCGCTCAGGGAAGCTCGCTGTTCTGAATGGTTTGTGCCCCTGGTGAGTCCATTACAGCCTCAGCCGAGAGGGGCTTCAGCCCTCAGTGTAACGGAAATGTTGCCAGTGCCTTTGTGGGACTCTCTGGACCTGTGAGCTCTGTGCAGGCACCACCTGAACGGACTGGAGCCTCTATTCTGGCATCAGAGCTGCAGCTGGTGTGGGGACCACAGCGAACCTGTGTTTTGTGATGGGCAAACCCAATGGGCGGGGCAGGACCTGAAATGCTGAACCGGAAAGAATGTTTTCCAAAATAACAGGTTCTGAAATAAAAGGAGGTTTGTTCTACTTTTTAGAGGCGAATGAGTATCATGTCTTGTTATATTTTTAGTCAAAGAAATTGCTGCCTTGAATAGACAGAGCTGGAATATAAAGAAATTAATCTAATTCAAGAAGTGCCATGAACAATGAAAGGAAATCAAGCAATTATCCCTGGCAGGGGACGGAGCGTTGAATTGCTGAACACCCACTCCCCTTTTTTCCAATGAAAGAAAAGGAACTGTGAAGCAGGGCTAATAATGGGCAGTACTTGCACTTACTCAACAGTTTCAACAGGCACTTCCAATGTGCTCTGCAAATGTAATTAACCCTGCTGTACAGAGGAGAGACGCGCCTTTCTAAGACGATTTGGTCAGCGTCAATAAAAGCTGTAACTGCCTAGAACAGTCTCTTTAAAATTGCTCTTTACATGTCTGTCTCTTCCTGGAGTTCTTGATATTGTTTCCAATGACACATTTCACAATTAAACCCCCAAAGTAGGACTCCATTACACCCACTTAAAAACGGAACAAGACCAAGGAGAAAGTTGTGTATTTATTTGCAGGTCTCATCACTTTCTTAAAGGGGAGGGGAAAAACCCAACCAAACAAAACACTTTCCTACTCCCAACATAAACTGTGAACATTTCCAAAAGTAGATAAAAATCTTGCCATCATAAATAACATCATAAAGGTAAGATTTCTAAACTACTGACCCATGTGCTTTGCATAACATTTGCTAAAATAAAGTGAAAAATAAAAGAACTTGGACTGAAGCATCAGAGCCCCCAGGTCCAGGGGCTGAGGGAAGAGACTGTCTTGGTCCCAGGCATTCTCAGGAGCGGCACGTCTGGGTTGGGATTAAGACAGGCAGCTGCAATTTGGGGGGCAGGGGGTGTTTGAAATGTCTGCTGAGATGAAAATAGGTCCTTAGTTGGCTGCACACGGTACCTGAAATTTCTAAAATTACAATTGTGCTCTGGGTGGAGGCATTTCCCA